TTCATTAACTTTGGCCTAAGTGCATGAGTCAACCATCGTTGATTATTTGTTCTAACAACTAATTACTAACTCACTAACAATATCATTGTGCTAATTTTGTTTATGTTTCCTTCTTTCTCCCTATCTCTCTTTTATTTTTATACTCCACTATTATCATCTCATATCATATTATTGTTTATACTTCCACCATTTTCCCTTTGTCAACTTGGACCTTTTGTTTATGTTTATATTATTTTTCTTTTGTCCATTAGGACCAAAAACATTAATAAAGGCTTAAACCCCTAAAAAACTTGTTCTCTTAATGGTGGACTATGATTACTATCATTTGCATTAGACTTGGACCTCAGACCTCTTGGATTATTCTTAGATCCTTGGACTTGGAATTAGGTCTCTTTCCCTATATTTGGAGTATTATGGATCTTTGCCTTTATTTGACTTGCTCATTTGCTTATGCTCAAGGTGGAAGGAATTCTTTTGACTTTCTATGGAGTTTGTTATCATTTGGTTAGATTCTTCTTATATCTAGCTTTTATTTTGCTTTCTAGGGTAGTCATTTCATCTCCTCCCGTTCTTAAATTTTCAAAATCTTCTCCCTTTTTCAAAAAACCTTCTTGTTTTCAAACTTCAAACCGCTTTCACAATAAAACCTTGACTTTTGTCAAGTGATTTTCAAACTTTGTTTTCTTTAATAAATGTCAATCAATGTTAATCATCCTTTGATTAATTTCAAAAAGACATAAAAAATATAAAACTCATAAATTCTTTTTGTGCCTTTTGTGCATTTTTCATTTTAAAAAATATAAAACTCACACACTGATGGATATAGAACAATGCCTTATGTTCCTTCTTCCTCGTTTCATGTTGCGCATTTCTTTTCACTTTTATTGTATTTTCTACAACCGACGTGTAACCATCATTGACGGGATCAAGAACATTTTAAGCGACAAACAACACACACATTTGAATCGATCGTCGATTACAATTCTTTCCATCAAATACTGGGAGCTTTGTATTCAAGCTACCATTTTCGCCGTTTATTTTCGTTCTTGTGCAAATCGCTCAATTCTGAACAACACTCATGTTTCCTGAACCTTGAGAATCAAGATTGTTATTCTCTTCGATTTCGATCTTCAATTCAGTATGAATTTGAAAAACAAAATCAATCACACACCTCACGTACACTCGTGTTTTCTTGTTAATCAAAATCGAAACTCTAAATACCAATTTTTAAAGTTAACAACGAAACTCCATTGATAGACAAGAAGAAGAAGATGAAGAACTTTGAAAGAATTGCAGGTGTATATATATATATATATATATATATATATATATATATATATATATATATATATATATATATATATATATATATATATATATATATATATATATATATATATATATATATATATATATATATATATATATATATATATATATATATATATATATATATATATATATATATATATATATATATATATATATATATATATATATATATATATATATATATATATATATATATATATATATATATATATATATATACATATATATACATACATATACATACATATATATACATACATATATATAGAGATATATATATATATATATATATATATATATATATATATATACATACATATATATACATATATATACATACATATATATATATATATATATATATATATATATATATATATATATATATATATATATATATATATATGTATATATATATATGTATATATATATATATATATATATATATATATATATATATATATATATATATATATATATATATATATATATATATATATATATATATAATTGAAACTAACTTCAATTTGTATACAATTTCAATTCAACCAAATGAAAAATAAAAGGAAAGTTAAATTAAATAAACTTGAATATGAATTACATTTACAATATTTTCTTTTTTCTTAAAATTGTATTGTTTTTCTAAGTTTGAAAATGTTAATCCATATTCCAACTTTTTTTAAAGTATTAAAGTTACTTGTGTTAATGATTATATTAGATTTTAGTTAATTTTATTACAAATCACGTAAGATTTATTACTAAATCATGATCAATAAATAAAATATATCACCATATTCATTATAATATTCTTATCATTAAATCAATATAAAATAATTCAATTATTTCTTATTTTGTTTTTCTCTTTCTTAAATTCAACAATATTTCTAAACACAATATTTACTTAAAATCTAAATATATATTTTTATGTTTTCTAGAGTTATAACCGATTCAGAATTTGAATTTTTCACCCATATACCCAAGATTTCACCCCCATAATTTCAATATACCCTACATTCCCTTATATTTTCCAATCTAACCAACTTGGAAAAAAAAAATTTTAATTTACAAGGGGGCGTCATTGCTGATGGCGAGCCACCTTTATAAATTATAGGGGGGGCGCCATCCCCTTTGGAGACACCCTATAATTTATAAGGGGGGCGTCATCCCCTTTGGAGCCTCCCTTAAAGAGTTAAAGGGGGGCGTCATCCCCTATGTAGCTCCCTTTGTTTCGTTATTTTTTTTATTCTGATATAAATAATATAATACTATTTTGTACAAAATTTTTGTGTATAAATAGGTAGACTTGTTTCATTCAAACAACACATTCAAATTTAGGAGAGTGAGTCATGTATCTTAGAAGATATGGGCATGTAATTTTTTCAAGAACGAAGCCTCCGATAAGGATGTTATTTTGGAACATCCAGAGTTTAGAGCAAGAGCAACTACAAAGAAATTTGAATCGGTGGTTAGAAGGAGACATTCCAAATGGTGAAAGCATTAGGAGTATTGAAAGACTTGTCTCGTACTTCTCTGTTGAAGACGGAAATATACGACGGGAGTGGGTGAGAATTAGAGATGACAACGCAGTTAGGTCAATGATGTTTGAAACTGATGATATTACTTTGATTGTTGTAATAGCTTAGTTTATGTTGTAACAATCGTTATTTTTTTATGTTGCTCCCAACCCCATTTCCAACCGCCAACCCAAACCCATTTCCAACCACCAACCCAACCCCATTTCCAACCTCCAACCCAACCCCCACTCACACAACCACAACTATATGAACATACCCCTAACCAATTCACCCCATTCACACAAACTTATTCACAGTTCGAATACCAACAATATCCACCACAATACCAAACATACTCCATGGATACTAGAAACCAAATAAACACCCAGTTTCAAACACCAAATCAACCCTTATCAGCCCAAACATTTATACCATGTCACCCTACGACCAGTCAGGCTATCGTCCTGACACTGCCTCATCTAGCCAACGACCCCAAAATAATTATGAAGGCATGGGCAACCCTTTTGATTTGGATGACTTTACGGGGATGGAATCGACTTCATGGGCCGAAATGATGCAATTTCTTGAAGACGACACGGTCGACCCGACTCCACCACAAAGACGACCAAGAAACGTACGTAATCGAGGATGCAGTTCGGACGAACATTTAAACCGACCTAGTCGTAGAAATTAGTGTACCAAATCACTCATATGTACCCATTTGTAATTAAAAAAAATTTGTAATTATTTTTTAATATTAAGTTTATTAAATACAATTTAATTTTTATTTATTATTTGAAAATTTTTATTTATAAAATTTTTATTTATTAAATATTTTTTAATTGTTAATTATTTATTAAATATTTTTAAATTTATTATATAATAAAAACTATTTTCAAAATTCGGATTTAAGGGAGGAGTCAAAGGAGATGACGCCCCCTTTATAAATTATAGGATGCCTCCAAAGGGGATGGCGCCCCCCTATAATTTATAAGGGAGGAGTCAAGGCCAATGACGCCCCCTTGTAATTTTAAAAAAAAAAAAAACTCAAAGTTGATTAGATTGGTAAATATGATAAAAAGTTAGGTATAATGAAAATTAGAGGGAAAAATCATGATTATTGAGGTGAAAATTTCTCAGAATTTTGAATTTATTTTAAAAAATAACAATTAAAGCTGAAATGCTATTATATTTGTGTTAGATATAAACCAACCAACCAATAAAGAAAGGATAACAGAACAGACAAAAATGTGGCGACGTCAGTATGTTTCCGCCGCCTGAATCAGAAAAGTGGGCAGGCATGCGACTGATGAGTTGAGGTCACGCCTTGCTTGCCTGCCCTTCAAACACCAGCTGCCATTTTGTCACTCCTTTATCCGTCATTCTATTTTCATTGTATACAAATTGTGCCTATTTTGGTTGAGAATTTAACCAAAAATAAATAAGAAAAAAAAGCAAATGAAACTTGAGATTGAGACTTGACATTCCATAAATGTTTGTTGACTGGCACTTTGTATAAACATAGAAACAAACTCTGCAAACGCCATGCACGCTGTGAATTTACACTCTCATATCCCATATGTCTTCAGAATAGATACTGTATTCTTCAATCTTACTACTATTCACAATTTTCTTTATTCTTACCATTCTGAGTTTCTGATTGTATAAAGTGATATGATATTACGAATTTCTTTGAAATTTAGCAATTCAAAGTGATATGATAATGATGATGATAGTGATTAAACGAAGTTGTATGAAGAAAGCATGGATCTTTGACTCTGAAGATGCTGAATAATGTACACATTTTGGAGAAGATTATGAGCAAAGGAGAAACATAGATTGACAGAAGCATGAGGTGTAAATGCATGTCAGAAAAAACAAAAAGAAAAAGAAAAGGATGTTTGGTTTGTCGACAAACAAGGACACAACTCTCTTGCAGCCTAGCTTCTTCTATGAAAATAGAGCACACTTCTCCAACAATAACAGACAAATCAAGTACCCTAAGGTCCACAGCATACTTCCACACACACACACACTTTATATTTTCTAACACTCCCTTCCTCCCCTTATAAAACCACACTTTCCCTTTCTTCATTTTCATATCACAATCACACAAAACTGACCAATAAACTGATTTTGCTTACTACACACACCATGTTCAATCAAGAGAAACTCATGCATTACCAAGTGGAACAACAACCATCATGGAGCTACTACATGACAAGAGTAACAAGAACAATGGAAGAAGATGAAATGGAGAGAATAATGAGATTAGCTACACAGAATGCTGTTGTGATATTCAGCATTAGTAGTACTAGTTGTATGTGTCATGCAATGAAGAGCTTGTTTAGTGGAATGGGAGTGAATGCAATGGTTCATGAACTTGATCAAGATCATAAACCATTCATGATGAGGTTACTTGGAAATTCAACATCACTACCTGTTGTTTTCATTGGTGGGAAATTAGTTGGTTCGATGGATACAGTTTTGGCTTTTCATATCAATGGTTCTCTTGTTCCTCTTCTCAAACATGCTGGTGCTTGGTGGCTCTAATATGAATTTCTTAGTCATTAGAGTTGGAATCAATTAGTCATATTTATATGCTAAATTAGAGAATGTGTTAGAAAATATGAAAAAATTAGAAAATGTGGTTTGGAATATAACATCTATGTTGGGAATACCATTTTAAACATGTATATAAAATGTGAAGCATTGATGGAAACTTGTTTGATATTTGATGATATGGAAAGAAAGAATGTTCTGTCTTGGAATGCATTCATTGCCGCTTCCGAGCAGAATGAACGAGTAGAAGAAACACTTTCACTCTTTGTTTCGATGTTGCGGTCAACTATGGAACTTGATGATTTTACTTTTGGCAGTGTTGTAAACGCAGGTGCTGTGTCTTGATATTTTTTTTCAAAAATGTATTTTTGAAAGTTTGATATATTTTTAGAATAATTTTATTCGTAAAATTGAGATGTGATTCAAAAACGAATAAAATACGTGTATTGATTGCGTTGGAAGATATATCTCTAAAAATTATAATTATTTTTAAAAATCCGCGAAGTGGCTAAAAAATACATGAAATACAATAAAAAATGCTCTTAGATTTAGCATAATCATCTAAAAAGGGTGAAAATTCAAAAAAAAAAAAAAAAACTATGATGATTAGGAAGAACTACTTGCTACCCCAATCACTAAAAAATTATTATAAAGTTTGACGTGTGGAACAATTAACAAACACAAACAAATTAAATGGTCTTTGGAGAAATAATTTTTTATACAATAAGATAACAACTTAATTTGATAGAAGAAGATAAAAGACAAGGATTTCAATAACTTCTTTATTCATTTCGATGATATAGGGGAGAAATCAACTTTTTGATTTACTATACTTTAAAAAATTATTACAAATGAGTTGCGATAAAATAGTCACTTAATTTTTCAAAAACTAAATTTATTTTCTACTGAAGTGTTGTTGAGAAACAAGTGTGAGTTGTGTAAGTCCTATAATGTTTTAAAAAATAGATTTTGAACCATTTATAAGTAGATGACTCATACACTCATTGTCTTAAGGTTTTTGGTGAATATGTGATCTCTTTCTCTTACTTGTTAGGAAGAATTTTTAACCTTTAGATGAGTTTTCGACCCAACTTGATGCTTCCCCTAATGATAACTCATCAGTGATATCTGAGTTGATGGTTTGAGTAAATGACTAACTCTTTGTATCGAAAGTCTTCTTGACATGGTGGCTAGGCAGCGTATTCAGTTCAAGTGTCCATGATGTGGTAAGGGTGTCTGTCAATGACGATTCAAGTATGTAGATGAAAGAGTTATGCTTGAACGACAACATAGTAGATGAATTCACACTTGAGGGGGAGAGTGTTGAGAAACAAATGTGAGTTATGTAAGTCCCACATTGCTTCGACCCCATGTGGATGTTTCCCCCTCATGATGATCCTGCAAGTGTTTTTCAATCTCTCCAACTTCCTATATATTAATCATATAATTGCAAGGTGTTTAAAAGAGTTTCTTAATCCCCTTAGATATCTCCAAGGGTTTTCAAAACTCAAAGAACACACTCTTAGGAATTTATCATTCCATTTGTAAGATTGCCGATTACCAAACTCTTCTCTTTGTCTTCAATGTTTTGAAATTTGTTAAGAAAAGAATGATATAGATGCATATTTATAACTGTTGAAACTCAACATATCCATAATAAGTCCAAAATTTGACTAATTAATGAACAAATCCGCAAACTAAAATAACAAAGCTCAAGACACGCAAAATGATAAAACTGATCGATTATCGCGCTCTTGACGATAGCTCTACCTCTAAGCTGATTTCTAGTTTTCTACAATCTTAAAACATGTTTCCTTTCTCTTCATAACTTAAGGTTATAAGATGTACTTCAACAAAGATCATATACCATACTGTCAAAGCTAGCTGGAAAATGACAAATGATGGAAAATCGATCAACCGAACTCCTACAGATGGGACAAGAGATCTCGCCAGGCTTAAGAATCTCCCCCACTTAAATAGGTTCTCCCTAAAAGGAAGTCTGCTTGCAAAAGTTGTCAAGAAAAGACAACAATGTTAGAAAGAACCTAACTAACCCATATATATATATATATATATATATATATATATATATATATATATATATATATATATATATATATATATATATATATATATATATATATATATATATATATATATATATATATATATATATATATATATATATATATAAGGGGAAATATCAAATTCTCAACCATATAAAAGGATAAGGAAGAAATATTAAGATCAAATGAACATGCTAAGCTGAAGAAAATACACTATCTCTTAAATGGATTCAACTCCACTTATCTCTATCTTGAGAAAAATTATTTCCTTGAAGAACACATATGACATTGTCAACTACAGATAACACATGGATAATGTTTTTTTAATGCTTTTATCTACTAAAATGCTTCTACTGGTTGTTCTAATACATGTAGTAAGCATGAATGTACTAATTATTGTGATTGGTGTTAACTTTCTTTATACATGATTGATGTATACTAATACAATATTAGGATTGCTACAATGTACTTTAAAATATAGGACTATTACGCGCAAATTTAAGATTATGTAATGTTCTTATGAACCATTAATATTACTTTGTTTTGTTATTTAGTTGATTATATTCTCTCTGCTAAATTTTTATTTGCAAAATGAGTATGAAAATAGGATTATTGAGAGAGACTTATAAGAGGAACCCGTGGATTATGTTTCCAATTATCAATTTGAAAAAAAAAAATCATCTTCTTAGATTTTGTTTTGTTGGAGGAGTGAACAAGAAGGATCGTTTATATAGTTTGGGCTTAGAAGAAGTAAAGTACAAACTGTCTAGATCTTCTACATTTGACGGTATCTCACCTTATGAATATGAACAAATGAAGGCTGTCATTTTTTATTTGTCAGTTGAAGACTTGACTTTGAAAAAGAAACTTAAGACTTGCAAGGAATTAATTTATTCATCACAGGAAGAATCACGTTTGCTTGTAGATCGATTATTTTTATTTATGAAAAAAATTCTTTTGGTCATTAACTTTCACATCCAAGTCCGTCTTCACCTATTTCTTAAAATACAATATGAAATTGTTTTGCGAACACACTCTTAGTTGTAATATCTCCTATTATTATTATTTTTGTTGTTATTTCTTAATTTCAAAAAATTTATCTGTACTATTTTAGTTGTAACATATAATGTAAAAAAAAAAAACCACTTTGATTGCAATATCTAATTTTAAGAATAAATTTTTAGTACTATTAATTATAATTTAGTGAATATTTATGAGATTCACAAGCAAAGTTTAATGCTTCATGTTGTGTATTATATTTTAATTTTACTTGATATATTGCATTATTAATATTAAGAATTAAATTAGATAAAATATTTACAATTTCAATTATTTTAGACAGGTTTTCACAAAGGTTATTACTAATCAGTGACGAAATATAAATGTGACTAAATTATTATCCTAGTAGCTTAGTGATAGAATAAATCCCTTATAAGTAGCAAATATTTATTTATTATTCTTTCCTAAATAGTGATGAAGTATAAATGTTACTAAATTATTAATTACTGTAATTAATGATATATTTATAATCATTTCACTGATTATCGATGGAAATACCTTTGCTAAAATGAATTTCACTGATTATCGATGGAAATACTTTGCTAAAATGAATTTCATTCTAATATTTAATTACAAAACGTTAGTGTTAGTGACGGATTATTTTCGTAATGAAATATAAAATCCGTCACAAATATTAAGTGACATTAAAATTCGGTAAGAATATTAATACATCATTAAATTTACTTTATCCTCTAAATTTTATTTACTTTTAGTAGTGAATAAGTCACCTCTATCACTATCAACTTTTTTTTTTATTGTAATTGTCTTTGATGCGTTATATTGTGTTTTCTTTTTTCTTAAATTGTATTGTTTTTTTTAAGCTGAAAATATTAATCAAAATTCAAACTTAAGCTGAAAATATTTGATTGTACGCAGTTATTTATTTCTAGTTAGTTTTGTTACTTGATCATGATCAATATATAAAGTATATGTTTGAAACTGTCCAACTCCACTTTTCTGCGTCCAAAGCACTGCCACCGCAAAAATCCAAAAGTCACAAATAATAGCTTCTACATGATAATTTGAATTTTCTTTTGAAATAACATATATTTTTAAATAAAATACAAAAATAATTAAGTTTTCAAAAAAATTATTAAACTAATTTATTTTTAACATGCATGTGCCATATGATATGGCAACAGTATTGAAAATATAAATGAATTGAACTGAAACGCCATATTATATGGCGACACCATTAAACAAAAATTCGAGGAGTCATATATGGCATTTCAGTTTAAATATGGTTTTAAAAAAAAGGAGAAAAGAAAAAGATTGAACTGAGGTCATATTATATGGTTTCTCCTCTGAATTTTTTTTAAATAGTGTCACTATAAGATATGGCGCATCAGTTCAATTCATTTGCATTTTTAATGCTATCGTCATATCATATGATACATGCATGTTAAAAATAAGTTAATTTAATAATTTTTTAAAAAAACTCAATTATTTTAATATTTTATTTAAAAATATGTGTTATTTCAAAAAAAAATCCGATAATCTGCTGTGATTTTGGATAATTTTGAAAATATGTGTATTTATTATAACACAATTGATATAAAATAATTCAATCATTTCTTATTTTATTTTTATTTTTCTTATTTTTAAACGCAATATTTACTTAAAATCTAAATATATATTTTTATGTTTTCTAGAACTAGAACACATTCAGAAATTTGATACAATTTCTTTTAGATAATAATAATGAAAGTTGAAATGTTATTATTAGTGTTGGATTGATTGAGAAAGAAGAATGAATTGAGAATTTTTTCATCCCTACCATCTTTTTACAAATTTATTTCTAAAATACCATATGTTTCAACAAATATACCAAAATGTAACAGTTTTAAATAAATTTATTTCTAAAAT